TATACTTTGACGACGGTCGTCAAAGTAGCCGAATGCTACAGATATATAGTAATACTGTTACATATAACGATACATAAATGTAGTATCTTAATAATAAAAGGTGATAAAATATATTCGCACGATTATGTAAAAATTATTAATAAAAGAAAAGTGCTATAATTATTAAATCGAAAAAATTTTCACGGGACGTTACAGTATCGCACATCGTCGAGAATTATATTATCGTTGCTGTCTACATCGAACCGTTTACTACCGAGCCTCATTCCATCCTTGTCGAGATGAACACCGTATACGAAATCTATGTCCCTCTTTACACCACTCTTTTCGGCAGGAGGTCTGCGTAGAACTGCCTCGATATATTTTTGGCTCAGCAGGCCCAGATGCATCTGAAACGCTGCTTGACCCTCTTCCGTTTGTATCTCGCGTTGAACGGCTGTCGGGAGCGAATCCCCAGTGGTTTCGAAAACATCCTCAGACCCAAGAGTCACCTCCATCGGATGCATGGCCGTCGCACGTGTACAGGTTATCAACGGTGTAGAGGTTATCGGTGGTGTTTCCAACTCATACGATACATCCATCAATTTACGATGTTTCAATTCGGGGGACTCGATCAACGAACGATTCGACGAGGTCCGTTTTCCCCCCCTCATTATCTGCCGCTGTATAGCATCTTTCTCGCACTTGTAGTCGAATGATGTGTCAATCATCCCCATGTCATGGATCGGCTCGTCTTTTATCGCACATACTCCGTTGGAGTTGTCAGCCATCTGTTGCAACGGCTCGATGATTGGTCTAAAGTGTCTTCACCGCGATATCATCATCGATCCTACCAATCTTTAAAGCGCGATGTTTCTTGCGAATTGATTCGCTCGTTTTTGCGATCTTTCTCGCAATCTTTTCACGCTTGCTAATATCATCGCTCCCAGCCATGCTGATCGCTCGCTTTTCACCCAACGGAATACCGACAACGACTAATCGGTTCGTGGTACTGCAAACACGTTAAATCCCTTTCTGTATCGCCCATTAGAAAGCGCGCTGTCCTTGTCTATCACTAGGAAACCAAACCGTCTAGCCAGCAACTGCTACACAATGCGCAGAAATCATTATATGACATGTCGGTATTCACATGATCGTTGTAAAAGTGTTTCAAATTGGTGCCGTCCTGTTTGAACAGGATTAGCAGGTTCGCGTTGTCGCGTATAAGATGTTTCGGTATTCTCGCGTAAGTCTGACAGAGATAAAAACAGTCGACGCTCGAGTGACGTCCCATTGAGAAATACTCTCTCACCGCGTCTTGCTTATCGCATAACACGTCGTCAAAGACGAAGATCGAGTTCGGACGCGCCTCGCGCTCGGTGGAATGACATCACTGTTATTGGAGAATGTAAAGTATCCGATTTCGCTGATAGACGCCAACAGGTGCTCCAAATACTGATATTTCGGTTGTTGCAGCGACTTTGAGTACACATACACGTTCTCGAAACGCACACCATTAGGACTTTCCAGTAAGTTTATGAGAACGTTTGTTTTTCCGCAATTCGAGGGACCGCACACGATCGCGCGTATACTAGTCGGTAGCAGCGTACCATGCTTGCGTTTCTCCACATTGTCCCCCATCAACCGTAACTTGTCACAATTCGTAACGCGTATCTTCAACGGTTGCTGCACGAAATTCATTCTTCACACTGATATGTAGGAGGCGAGATCGAGCGCTTATTTATAGGCGCGTGAAACCGTTCAGTAGACGACACCTATTTATACGAGCGCGATACAACGAATCGCTCAGTAGTGAAAATGTTTGTCCTGCTGTCAAGTCCTTCCGATATCTGTGACTTAAACGTCGAACCGTTGCAGTTTATTCCAAAAACTGTTCTGTTACGAGTGTGTGGCGATTACGTCCACTACCTGTGGGATAAGCTTCCACAACGTATAAGGACTGATTCGGAGGTTCAGACGTATCAGCGCTGTTACGAGCATTACAATCAGCCGTGGCAGAGGACGCACATCGACGGTCCCGCGCCGATGATCAAGGATTGCTACGAATGTTGGCAGAGGCAACAGCGGTAAAACGTGGCGGCGGTCTGCTGAATCACGCGATAAACGCGCTTTCTTTCGAGCTGCATATCCCCGGTTATCAGTTTTGTGGTCCAGGCACTTGTCTGGAAGAACGATTGGCGAGAGGCGATCGAGGGATAAATCCATTGGACGCGGCGTGCTGCGAGCACGACATTGCATATTCTCGGAGTAGAACTCGCTGAGAGACACGTGGCGGACAGGGTACTCGCCGAGAGCGCGCGGAAACGCATTTGAAAGACAAAGATCGGTATGGGTTTGAAAACAAAGAAGAAAAGAGCAACAAAGAAGCGAATACTTCCGGTAGCGAAACGCGGCGGTGTATTACCACTTCTACCGATATTGGGCGTCCTCGGATCCATGATCGGTGGAGCAGCTGGCGTGGCGAAGGCTGTGAGCGACAGCAATGCTGCACAACGTCAACTCGAGGAGCTGCAGCGTCACAATCGCGCGATGGAAGGTCGCGGAGTGTATCTCGCTCCATACAAACGTGGACGAGGTGTAACGAAACAAAGAAGGAAAAAAAACGTCAAAAAAGCATTATAAATGCCTGCTGGTGTAACAACGAACGTGCAATTGGATCAAATACCAAGATGTGTGCACATACCGTACTTTAGAGGCGTCTTTATGCGAAACGCGTTACCGATAAGCGGAGTACGACGAAACGAGAGCGGCATCGTCAATCTGGATAACGCGGCGGGACCCGGCACTCACTGGATAGCGTACGCGAGGAGGGGAAACCATGTGGTATATTTCGACAGTTTTGGTAATCTCCGACCGCCTAAAGAATTGGTGTGGTATTTCGGAGATGATGCAACGACTGTGTATAATCGAACATCCCTACGGTCAGAGCATCTGCGGACAGCTGTGTCTACGATTTCTCCAAACGGTCAACGACTGACGCGTGCTAATTTAAAAGCTCGACGAGGCGTCGCGAGGAGTCAGTATTCGCTGAACGGCTTTTCATCCAGCATGTCGCTAACACTCACGCTGACGGGAAAGAGCAGCATGCTCGCTGTGAACTATTTTCCAGCCATAGACCTGAGCAACGACGATTACGAACTCGGTCTGATGAACTTTGAGACTTACAATACGATATCGAATGTGAATGCTTCGAATAATAAATTTTACTATGACGACGCAGGAATTACAATTCCCGAAGGATCGTATGAATTGCAGGCCTTAAATGAACTTTTGAAACGCGCACTTTCATGGAAACGTCCACGTCGGTTCCTAGCTAATGATGGCAGTGAAAAACGCGACGACGGTGATGACGAAGACGATGAATACCCAATTGTGCTCCGCGCTAATTACAACACGATAAGAAGTGAGGTCAAATGCGCCTTCGGAATAAACTTTAGCAAGCCCAACAACATTGGATCGCTACTGGGATTCTCATCGACGCGTATACTGCAACCGCGAAAGTGGCATGAATCAGACCTGCCGATCAACATTACCAATGTGAACATTATCCGCGTAGAGTACAACGTGACCGCGGGTGCGTACAGCAACAGCAAGCCTGTGCACACGATACACGAATTTTCGCCGAACGTGTCACCAGGATATAAGATATCGGAAACGCCGATGCAGATCATTTACCTACCAGTCATCGCACGGAGCATTACCGATTACGCGTTGTGGATCAGAACAGTCAATTGCTCAACTTTCGCGGAGAAGAAATCATCCTCAGATTGCACGTACGCCGACGACAGCGATAACGCGCGCGAGTGTGCATGAGATGCTCGTGCTGAACGGATCGGAGCAAATTGTAAAAGATACCACCAAGCCTGTGACATCGAGATTCGGTGATATCCAGTCGTCTAGTTGTTGCAAGAAGAAGAAACTCAACGCATTGAACGCGGAATTTTTAACCTCTTTGGGATTCGCAGTGCGCAAACAATGATTGACATTCTCAATATCAATGAAGAGCCAATCTTCGACGAGCGCATCGTCAAGACTGAGACTCACTCGTACAATCCGTTTGCCAACACTACATTCGGACACAGCGATGAGATAAGAATACCTATACAACAACAGGATCTCTATACGTTGTCACACGAAAGTTTTCTGTACATCGAAGGAAAACTAACTACTACCAAACAAATCGAAGGACCTGATGTAGTACTGGGAAATAATTGTGTCGCGTTCATGTTCGACGAGATCCGATATGAACTTGATGGTGTGGAGATTGATCGTGCCAGAAATGTTGGAATAACCAGCACGCTCAAGACCTATGTCTCGTCATCGTTCGATAAAATGTCTCTGAAGAATGCCGGCTGGGATGTGGTGAACAATGGAACCGGAGACTTTAATTTTTGTGTGCCGCTCAGCATGCTATTGGGATTCTGTGAAGATTATCAACGCGTGGTGATTAACGCCCGTCACGAATTCA